TTGTCTCCAAGCCCTGGCCCCCCCTCCGGGCCTGAGCTTGGAGCTGTGGGTCACCTTGGGCTCCCTCCCGCAGGGGCGTTCGTGGTTTGTTGGACGCCGGGCCAGGTGGTGCTGCTCCTAGACGGCCTGGACTGCAAGTCCTGCAACGTCCTGGCCGTGGAGAAGTATTTCCTCCTCTTGGCCGAGGCCAACTCCCTGGTCAACGCTGTGGTGTACTCCTGCCGCGATGCCGAGATGCGCCGCACCTTCCGCCGCCTCCTCTGCTGTCAGTGCCTCCGCCGGTCCACCCAGGAGTCTGCCCACTACACATCCTCCACCCGAGCCGGCGCCAGCACGCGCATCATGCTTCCTGAGAATGGCCACCCGCTGATGGATTCCACCCTTTAGCCAGCCTTGGACTTCAGTGGGAGGCAGCAAATGCCCGCTCGCACCCCTGACCACTTGTGGATGTGCCCGGTTCAACCCAATTTGAAAGACAGAATTAAAGGCAGACCCTCGGTCTGGATGCCAGACCTCCGCAGACACACACAACTCTGCCTGCTCCGGGGCCTGGGCGTACGTGGTCATCTCCAGGTGCCCGGGACAGTGTCAGGTGGGGCACCGGAACTGGCTCTTCAATCATCTCAGGTTTGGGGGTTTTAACAGACATGTTCCTGTTTTACTGCACATCCCTGGTAAACCCTGTGGACTGCTTCCTTGTCCGTGTGGTGTGTGCTAAAGGTCGGAGAGATGAGGACTCTCAGGCCATGATGCCCAAAGTCACAAGGACGGATCACGGATGCACCATGTGCCTGAGGCTGATTCTTCAGGGGCACAGAGTTTGTGGCCCCGTGAAGCCTCCGGGCTTGCCTGTCCCCGTTAGACTTGAGGGTACCCACAAGGAGGACATATTAAGGAGTAAACTTTTATTTTTCCTCTGAGGTCTGCAAAGCACTTTCCATCGTCAGCTTAGTCTGTCACTATGTCCCAGAATTGTCCATCTCCGCAGCCCTGTTCTCGTTCCCCTTCAGTCTCTGGCTGGCTGTTACTCCATCGTTCTTGGAGACTTAGATCTGTTCCCTCTTGTCTGTCTTCTCCACTGTTCCCTTGCCTCCATCTTGCCAGCTGCCTATCTTCATCCTCTGGAGCTGAGTAGTTCATGGACCACGTGAGTCCTCTCTTTCCCGCCTGCCCTTTGTCCCAGTCCAGGCTAACAGTCATGCGTGTCCATCCCATTGCACACTGCACACCCAGTCAGGGTAGGGGGACCCATGGAGCAGGGTGCCAGATTTGAGTGTTACCATTTCTCAAGCTCCCCTGATGTCTGGCACACTGATAAGCACTTCCGGTGCATTATTTAACCATCACCTGCCGGTATTACACTTATCTTCAGGTGAGGACAGTGGCTTTGAGAGGTTGAGATCTGGCCCATGGTTCCACAGCTTTGAAAGGACGCAGAGGCATGCAGGGACTGGAGAGGCCCCTGGGGAAGGAGCTTCTGGTTCCCACAAAGTGTGAAATTGGTCACAAGCTCAGCCTGGCTTTTCCCACCTCACCCCACAGCCCCCCAAAGGCTTCAGACACACCAGACTCCTGATGAGGAGCCCCATCTCAGATGTTCATAGGCGCACCTGCTAGGCATAGTGTAGACCAGGGTCTGGATGCTCTGCCTCCACCTAAGGAGGAGCTGGGGTTATGTCCCTGCTTCAGGTTCACACACAGAATAACAGCCGATTCTGAAAGCAGGCCTCCCATCAGAGGCCCAGTTTTGTTTTGTTTTTAAGTTTTTTTTAAAAAATATATATTTATTGATTTCAGAGAGGAAGGGAGAAAGAGAGAGAGAAACATCCATGATGAGAGAGAATCATTGATCAGCTGCCTCCTGCACGCCCCCCACTGGGGGTCAAGCCTGCAACCCAGGCACGTGCCCTCGGCCAGAATCGAACCTGGGACCCTTCAGTCCGCAGGCCGACGCTCTATCCACTGAGCCAAGTCGGCTAGGGCTGAGGCCCCATTCTTAAGCTACTAATGTACCCATTGCCAAGGAACCAAAAACATCAGGTCCGTGGTTCTCAACCTGTGGGTCGCGACCCCTTTGGCGGTCGAATGACCCTTTCACAGGGGTCGCCTAAGACCATCCTCCATATCGGATATTTACATTACGATTCATAACAGTAGCAACATTACAGTTATGAAGTAGCAA